CTGTAGTTTGTGGTACAAAAAATAAAAATTTGTTGGTTATGATTCAATTTTAAATGTAAAGACAAGTCGTCATGTTAAGGAGAAAACTACGACTAGTCGCCCACAAGTATACGACAACATTTGCATCACCTAAAGATGGAAGATTTTGCTTGGATTAAAATCAACAAGTCTATCACTCAATATCTAAGTGGAAAATGTCAACATCTTAAATACTATGGGGAATAGGAGAATTATATCTCAAATATGGAAATGACTCATGTCTAAACTTTATGAAAAGTTTTTAAAAGAAAAAGTGCATAAAGACACAAAAAGTTTGAATGAGGTGAAGTGTTTTTTATATCTTTTTTTTTAAAATTGGTCAAAGTATAATTAACATTGATTGACATTTATTAAAGAAAACAAAGTTTGAAAATCACTTGACAAAAGTCAAGGTTTATTATGAAAGCGACTTTAAGTTTGAAAACAAGAAGATTTTGAAATAGGGAGAAGATTTTGAAAATTTAAGAAGGGGAGGAGATGAAATGACTACCCTAGAAAGCAAAATAAAATAGAGATAAGAAGGATCTAACCAAATTGTAACATACTCCATAGCAAGCCAAATAATAATTCCATCCATCTTGAAGCATAAGCAAATGAGCAAGCCAAATAAAGGAAAAGATCCATAATACTCAAAGCATAGGGAAAGAGACCTAACTCTATGTCCAAGGGTCAAAGAATAGTCCAAGAGGTCCAAAGTCTAATTCTATCCATGAGCATAAGCACAAATTTAAGAGCACCAAGTTTTTTAGGGGTTTAATCCTTTATTAGTGTTTTAAACAAGATATGGTCCAAATAAACAAAAGAAAAAGAGCGGAAGCATAAACAATAATATGAGATGAGATGATAATAATGGAACATAAAAATAAAAGAGAGATAGGGAGTAAGAAGGAAACATAAACAAAATTAGTATAATGATATTGTTAGTGAGTTAGTGATTAGTTGTTAGAATAAATGATCAACGATGATTAACTCATGCACTTAGGCCAAAGCTAATGACGACTCATTAGAGGATTGATAAAATCAAAACCTCCTAACAACAAGTTTCATAAGTGATGGACCTAAGACAAATAATCAACCATACTTGGACTTCTAAACATAAGTTTGAGCCACAAATGATCACTTTTCGATTACGATACAATTTAGCGCTATGTTAAGCAATCGTAATCGGGTTTATATAGAAACCACGACTATCTAAGGCCGGTCAATAACAATATTAGTGTTAATGCATGCTAAAGAAGTGACATGTAGATCACTCTCCGAAAGTAATACCGCACAAAAAGAAAATAGGTAACGATCTCATCTTCATCAAGAACTTGAAATAAGTTCAAACGATATCGAAGATTTTTATTGATCAAAAGAAAAAAGAGAAGAGGAGAGGGAATGTCAAATTGAATTATAAGTTCAAGATCATTCCATATTTAAGTTCATCCACTCATCTTGGTGGATTAAAGCACTAAACATATTATTAACTCAAAACACCTAAAATGAATTGAACAATTCACTTTAAAGATAGATTTGAATTAGTGAATGTTTATCCAACTTCATCTACACCCTAAGTCCAATGAATTTAAAGAGGAAAAGGACCATTAAAAGTGAATTTCAAGGAAAAAAATCAAAAAGAAATGAAAGAAGAAGAAGAAAGAACCAAAACAGTCCCAAAACAAAGCCAAAAAGCCAAAATGCTCACTGTGTAATCGATTACCACCAGGAGGGTAATTGATTACCACTGCCAAAACCATAGCAAATCCACTTTTAAAATATGCAAAACTTGACTTCAAACACCTCATGATCAAGAATGCAATTGAGCACGAAAATTCAAGTAAAATAACAACAAACAACACCAATAGAACACAATTTGCAAGATCCAAAGATCAAACAACAAGAATCAACAATAAATCATATTGTAAAGGATGTATCAAGAGCAACAATGGTGGATCAAGAAATTACCACTTCAAATCTGAAAATTCCTCAAATCAACTCCACAAACCACACTCCAAAGTCTTGATCTACTAAAATTAATGGTGAAAAAGTGAATGAATGAAGGTTTAACTCAAAGATTAGTAAGTTCTAGTGATGAACTTACTAACTTTCAAAGAAAGAAAGAGTTTTGGTGAATTTGGTAGTTGGAGAAAATTGAGAGTCAAGAAAGAATTTGACAAGGTGAATTTGGCTATCAAAAACTTGTGAAATGATAGAAATGAAGTCTCTATTTATAGGAGTTAGGCTTGGAAAATTTGGTGGATTGGAGTTTGGTTTGGAAACAAAATTAGGCTTGAAATTTGAATTTGGAGGAAAATTAATGATCAAATGATGATTAGTGAAGGTGTATGGTGGAAATTAATTATGATGAGGTAAGAGAATTAAAATGAAGTGATCTAGAATATTCTCATGATGAAACATTTGAATTTGGTGCAAAAAATGCTGCAGAATTTGAATTTGGCCAATTTTCACAAAAATGCGCACATGGTAATCGATTATCCTAATGCTGGTAATCGATTACCATAGTAAAAGAATGTGAAAATTGCCTTTTTGATGTGCTGTCTTGGCTCTGACTCGATTCTTTTACTTGTCAAAGAAAGCATGAAAATAAACACATGAATCTTGGAGTCTCTGGAATAAAAGTCAACCAAATCTTGGAAGACCCTTGATTAGATGATTTTGAATTGTTTTACAGATCAACTTTGACTTTTTTTAGATGAAATTCGTTGAAGCTGGGGGACTGGTATTTGATATCTTTGATCTAAATTCTTCCTGAAAAAGTTAGTAAAGGAAAAACAAACATTTTTTTTTTGGATTTTGAATGATGATTAGTAAACATAAACATAAACAAATATCAAACAAACAAGAAAACAAGGGTGTCCGGTGATCTATTAAGAATAAACACACAGAGGAAGGTAAGAGAATCAAAACTTGCGATCTTGTTAGTGAAATAAAACGCAAATGATATGTGGGATCTTAAGGATAAAAATTAGAATATTACAAGATGCCCCAAGTATCTAAAAGATTAAATTATTAATGGTAATTTATTAGAAAAGATTCTGATAATAGTAAAAAATGGCTAAAATTTATTTATATAATTTGTTTATTACATAAAGTTAGAAATATCATTTCTATTTATCACAACAGAAGATGCACTTATTAAACTTGAAATAAGTCTTTCTTTCATTTTAAAGAGAGAGAGAGAGAGAGAGAAAAATCTTCAATATATTAAGTTATCAAGAGATAAAAGACAACGAAATAATACATTCTCCAAGACTTAATGTTTAATATTATTTTATATTTTATTAAGTTATGCAAGTTTCATATAAATTTAATTGAATTCGTATAAATTTTAATCAAGAAAAAAAAGTGTTTTTCATGTGATTCTAAATATAAAACTTACGGATTTTTCACATTTACATTTTTATAAAAGTTTGTTATAACCACACAAAACATATATTTTATGTTATACATCATAAAAAAATACTTGCAAAAAAGTGTACTAAGTTTTGTCCAAAAGAAAAGCATGAGCTTTTTTTTAACAGAAATATCCACAGTGTAATGTTTGAATTTATAAACTCATGCGATATGAATGAAGTTTATATTTTATATATTATATAATTTTTATTTACGTTTCTTTCATTAAAAAATATTAATTAAACAATGTCTTTTGTTTCATATTTGTAAATTATTTAAACATATATTTTCAAATAAAAATCATACAAATAACATGTAAGATAATGTATAAAGTTTTGTCCAAAAGAAAAGCATGAGCTATTTTGTACCGAAAGAAGATAACTACTCTTTTAAGTGCTCTATTCAATTACTTATTATATTAAATTTATTAATAATAGTAGACAAATAATTAGTTGAGTTGAAATATTAAAAATAAAAATACATTAATAAAAAAATAATAAATCTACAAAATTTAATTTAGAAAAAATTGATATAGATAGATCGAATATTAAAAATAAACCAACTCAATATCCAATTAAAATTCTGAATTTTACAACTAGTGATTTTACTGTGGTTATTGTTAAAGAAATAAATAAATTAGTTTGTAGTTGTAAAAGTGATAAAATAAGTCCACTCTTAAAGATATTTTTTATTCGGGAACGAACCAAGAATTTAGACTATAATTTTTTAACGTATTCTTTTTATCCGTCTCGGTTTTTTTTTTTTTTTTTGATTTTTACGAGCATAAAGATTAACATAATTTTATTTATTTTTAGATTTAAAAATTACAATAATTGTTGGAGTTTTTGGCTCGCACTTTTAATTAATCCATTTATTTAATAAAATAAAAAATAAAAATAAAATTTTTAAAAACATTTCGTAAAAGTAAATAATTTAAAATATAAAATATTTTAAATGAAGATTTAAAAGACAGGGTATAATTAACTAATTAATTAAAAAAATAGAAAATAGAATATTTACGCAAACTCGATTTTCGCCGGTGAAGATATTTATCTCATTTTCTGCGCAAAGCAATGTGTGATTTGGTTGCCAGCGACGAAAACACATTGAAAAAGAGAGAGAACAAATAACCAAATACTTTTCAACTTCGATTCTACGTTCAAATTTCCGATTTCTTCGTTTAGGTACAAAATCTAATCTCTCCCTCAATCTTATCCGATTCGCTCATTCTTTATCTTCATGTTTTTTTCAATCTATCAAGGATTTTTGTTCAATTTTTCAGATATTTATTTGAGTTTTACTGTTCTTCGGATTTTGAATTTCGTTTAAGCTTAGGTTTGTTCGATCTCGGTTATTATCGTGTTCAGATCACGGATTGTACATAATTCATAATTTATTTCATTCTATGAATAATTGATCTCTGATTTTTGTTCTTTTGTGTTTGTTTTGTTCAGCTGATCGTGAATTCTTGATTTTATATTGTTCGATAAACGGATTGAGAAGCTACTTTGATTTTGATTTTGATTTTGAATTTGTTGAGTTGAGCATTGAGAACAAAGTGAACAATGTCTGCAACCATGAGAACAAGTTCATGGGGAGATTCTGTTGAAAATGCAGCCAATGGATCATCAGCACGTCCTCTCAAGCCAGCGTATGTTCCTCCGCATCTTCGTAACCGGTCAATGGCACCGGCCGAGCCTCCTTCTATGGTGGTTAATGCTAATGAGAGGGGTTTGGGTAATTGGGGTAGTTCGTCTAACTTCAATAAGCCGGATTTTGGTGCTGGCAGGCAAGGATATGGTTCGGGTGGTGGGTTTAACAATAGAGGAGGAGGAGGGGTAGTGAGGGAGCATGGTGGAAGACGTGAGGTGAATCCTTTTGAGAATGATGTTAATGAGTCTTTTAGTGAGCAAGAGAACACGGGGATTAACTTTGAGGCTTATGATGATATCCCCGTTGAGACTAGTGGAGAGAATGTTCCTTCTCCTGTGAATACATTTGCAGAAATAGATTTAGGTGATGCGTTAAATCAGAACATACGGAGATGCAAGTATGTGAAACCAACCCCGGTTCAGAGGTATGCCATACCTATTTCTCTTGCAGGGAGAGATTTGATGGCTTGTGCTCAGACTGGGTCAGGAAAGACAGCTGCCTTTTGCTTTCCTATTATAAGTGGAATCCTTAGGGAACAGTATGCTCAAAGACCCCGTGTGGCTCGCACTGCTTATCCTCTCGCACTTATTCTGTCCCCTACCCGTGAGCTCTCTTGTCAGGTTAGAATGCACTTAAATGAGTTTCTGCTTTCAAATCTGTGTTTGACTTGTCTATTTTATATCTCAAAATCCAATGGTTTGTTTTTCTCATCTCACAGATACATGACGAGGCCAAAAAGTTTTCTTATCAAACTGGTGTCAAGGTTGTAGTTGCTTATGGAGGAGCACCGATCACCCAACAGGTTATTTTCCTATGCATCTGATGTTTTTATGTTCACTTTTTTTTTTTACTTGTGTTAAAGTGATCGGTATAAAAAGATCCTGAACCGAGAATCGAAAGGAGAATGGTAAAACAGTCTATGCTTATTGTAATTATATGCTTTGGTAAAAGATTTCACTGATAAGCTATGGTTTCCAATTTCTCAAACACAACATTAGTTAACTGGCAAGCCAGCATAAGCAATTTCATTTGATTCCTTCAGAATAATAGTATTTCCTTGGTACTCTTGAGCATAGCTATTGCTTTTTGGTTAGATTGTACTCTGAATAAAAAGTAATTGGCGGGTCAAGTTAAACTTGTATAGTATCTCATGCTTAATTCCACCAATGAGTTGAAAGCATGCTCCCCTCCCCTTCTATTTATTTTTACTTACATTTTCTTTAGCATGCTGTCTTCCTGGTGTATATTGTTATTAATTTATGTGAATACATATTCTGCTCATGAATTTAGCTTAATTGTCAAGTTTGCTTCTTTTTTTTTTGTTGAAAAAACCAAGTCCTACATTGAAAAGAGGTAAGGCTTGTAAAGAGTTTAAAGAGTGAAAAGCCGGTTTAATGAGATTGAGTTAGACCCTATATAAAAAACTAATAATAAGATACACAAGAACTAACCAAGTCAATAAGTAGATACTTTTTCTTGTCATCATTTTTATAGCCAGGTTGACATCGTCATGATGGTGCGTTCTCCCATGTTTAGTGTAGGCTTTCCCCTCTTGTCAACTTGGCTGTTCTGAACAAATATTATCTCTGCATCAAGTAATCGGTCATTTTACTTTCCAAAATAGTCCGTTGCTTGTTCTTCTATTTGCAAGTTACCTTTTTTAAAGAACTTCTGAATGAGTCAATGGGGACTATGATTTTTGTTTAATTGGCTTCGTAATGCCTTGTTTACTTTGTGAAAACATTTTTTATTTTCATTTTCTAAACAACGTGTTCATTTTAACTTGCTAGTAAGAGGATATGAGACTCTTGAATTGAAGTGAACAGTTGTGGTGGAGAGAAGATGAAATGCTAGTTAGAGATAATTTATTTCTAGAAATAATGAAATCAACTTTTTAACGTTTTCAAAAAATGGATAGAATTGTTCATTTGAAGACTCTTATCTCCTTATACCAATTAAAATTAACTCAAATTTTAGATAATGATAAAAGATGTTTTCACAAAGTAAATGGGGCCTAATGTTCTTTATGTTTGGGCTTATGAGCAAAGTGTTTATTGTAAAGATGTATTTATTTACTTAGTGAGAGTACATCTGCTTTTGTTGGTTGGATGAAATTGTAATTATGCTTATATGTCTTTCTGGCTATATGTATTATCAGTTGTTCTTTTGTATTCACACTGCTTTAATTAAACAATAATATTGTGTTGCATTGTTCAGTTGCGGGAGCTTGAGCGAGGAGTTGATATTCTGGTGGCAACTCCAGGACGACTAGTTGATTTGCTTGAGAGGGCTAGGGTGTCATTGCAGATGATAAGATATTTGGCGCTTGACGAGGCAGATCGGATGCTGGATATGGGTTTTGAGCCTCAAATAAGAAAGATAGTTGAACAAATGGATATGCCTCCTCCAGGCATGAGACAGACACTGCTGTTTAGTGCAACATTTCCCAAAGAGATACAGGTATCTTGTGACTTGTACTCAGATTGTCAGCTTGTTATATTTTGCATGGGGATCTGTCCCCCCATAAAACCTTTTTCAAAGAAGCTAAATAATCTATTTACTGTAAAAAAAAAAAACTTTTATGGCATTTCTATTCTTACTACTAGTTGGTTCTTCAATTTAAAATTGTATATTTAGTGTTTTTAACTTCACTTTTGCACATTCAACAAAAAAAAACTTCACTTTTGCACTCATGAAAATTAAGATTGCCGTGATTTAGGTGTTTGAATAACTTCTCTTTTGCTAACTTTTGTATATTTTATTTTTTGTACTGCAATGAATTCTTAGAGTTGAAAAATAGTACTTTTTGGAGAAAAGCCCATTTTCATAATTTCTCTCATTACGGTGCTATGCCATATGCCAACTGTATCTGTTATGTAGACTGATATGTTTTTTCATCCCAGCTGTTTTAAAATTTATACTATTGCAAGTGCCACTTGATTTTGAAAACCACTATATTGATGCCTATAATCAAGTTGCACTCACTTGGCAGCGGCAGATGCAAACAATGGCACTGCTTAATTTGTTACTTGTCGACAGTTGACAGAAAATATTATATAGATTGTGTGGTGGCGATTGTATGCGCAATAGTCACAGTCAGGATTAAATGCCATTGATGTAGTTTTGGGGATATGTTGAGTTTTGATGGCGATGGTTTCATATAGTCAGGATTAAACTGTTAGCTTAGGATTATGCTTTGCATGTGAGATAGAAATTCTAATTGATAGAGTGGGGTTAATGAGAAGTGGCAACCCTGTTGTTATCAGCTAGATCTAATTTGTCTTAGCGGAATGATTGATATAAAAAGGTTAATGATGTCTCTTCATCTAAATGCACTGCAGAGACTTGCGTCAGATTTTCTTGCAAGTTACATATTTCTGGCTGTAGGAAGGGTTGGTTCAAGTACCGATCTAATTTCTCAACGAGTAGAATATGTGCTTGAATCAGACAAAAGAAGCCACCTCATGGACCTTCTTCATGCTCAGAGAGAAAATGATGTGAATGGAAAGGTAATTTCTCACCACTGCATTCTGCTGCCATTTAGATTTGTACATGTGGTTGCCATAGTTTTCATTTTGTTAGCAAAATTTTACTAGTTTTCTAGAACTACGCCGCACTGGACGAGCCTTTTGTTTAAGAGTTGGAAACTTTGATTTGTCACACTCACAGTTTTAACGATATTTGGTGGTTCTTACAGCAAGGTCTGACTTTAGTTTTTGTGGAAACAAAGAAAGGAGCTGACGCATTGGAACACTGCTTGTGTGTTAACGGGTTTCCTGCAACTTGCATTCATGGTGACAGAACACAGCAAGTGAGTCTTTTTAGCTGACTGAAGTTTGTGTTTATTTGCAAACATGCCAGCATTTATCATTACATTTAAATAATTACATATTTTCTTGATTTATTTTATATTTCTTTATTGTTTCTCTTAACTAAAACAGAGTTTTCCTTGAGTTTTGAAGTTCTACATTCTCAATGAGATTTTAAAGCGGTTATAAAATTTGAGCAGCTCATTTTTATTTAAGGGTAATGTTAACATGTGCCCCAAGGGCACGTGTTAAGAAATCATAAATGGAATGTTTGTGTTGAAAAAACAAGTCAATCAATCAATTATAAACTTTTAACCAAATTAGTACACAATTTCTACAATCAGCACAAACATTCTATTCATAGATTTCTTAACATGTGCTCTTATTAAAAATGGTCTGAATGTTCAAATTTTAAAAAATCCCATTGTTGTTAGTCTCTAGTCTACTGTCAAAAATATCTATTTTTGCCCTATCAATAGAAAATTCTTTTGTTTTCACAATAATTGAAATGCCAGGTTTCAAATTGACAATGAAAGCCCATCTCTTTCACCATACTCATTCTTTGGAAGCTTTTTCTTTTCTTTTTTAAGATATTGAAATTTCAAGTAATTTTTTATTTGGTTTTTAAATTTAAAAGGAAAAATTGTCTTGCCATAATTTAACTAAATATTATTGAATTTTTTGGTACATTTGCTTTGTAAGTGATTTTTAGCATTGATAATGAGCTTTTTCCATTATAAAACTACATAGATCAGATGCTTTAATGTTCCAGTTTGCTTTTCTTCATTTTTGGGTACATGATGGTCTTATATTTTTTTTAGTTGTTGGCAACCATGAAAATATGATGTACCGTTTATTTTTGTGAGCATTGAATTTGCTTATGGGTTCTTCTTGCTGAAATCATTACTTACCATTTGCTATAAAATCTAGTTTTTAATTCCCCTCGAGCTTTCCCAGATATTGCATTAGAACTACTGGACTAAAATTTATTCTTCTGTGTATTCCTCGAAATAAATGCGTACAATGCGATGATTCTGTATGCAGGAAAGAGAACAAGCATTAAGATCGTTCAAGACTGGAAATACTCCAATTCTAGTGGCAACGGATGTTGCAGCACGTGGTCTTGATATTCCCCGGGTAGCACATGTGGTAAACTTTGATCTTCCCAATGACATTGATGATTATGTGCACCGGATTGGAAGAACAGGCCGAGCTGGTAAAATGGGGTTAGCAACAGCCTTCTTCAATGACAGTAATTTGTCAATGGCTAAACCATTGGCTGATTTGATGCAAGAGGCAAATCAAGAAGTACCTGCTTGGCTCACACGTTATGCAGCAAGGACTCCTTATGGCGGTGGCAGTAGAAACAAGCGAACCGGAGGAGCCCGTTTTGGTGGCCGGGATGTTAGAAAGGATAGCTCATATAATAAAGGAACCGATTACTACGGTGGAGCTTCTGGTGGTGGTGGTTATGGGGTTCCTGCGAGCTATGGTGGAGGGTATGGTCAAGGTGTAACAAGTGCTTGGGATTAGGTTAGTGTGACATTGCTGATTCATTTCTCATGTTGAGTGAGTGTATATAAATTTCAGACTTTGACTTTGTAAAGTTGTATCTTGTCAACCATAGTTTGTCTAAATCCATGCATTCCGTACTAAAAGAAATATTTTGTCATAAGAAAGATCTATGATTGGCTTACTTTTGCTGTTTAGGCACATAGGATTTGTTGGGAAATGTAAGTCAGAAGTTAACCCTAATTAGCATGCACATATTATTGATTTGATTTTTCTGTTTACTGATCACCCCTGTACTTAATAATTACCTAAAAGTAATGAAGCCATGGATTTTTTATTTATTATAAAAACACTGCTGAATAGGAATAAATTTAGGTGAACACAATGGACTCTTGCAGTTATTTATTCATCACCCAACCATTTTATGCTATGTCATATATTTATTTTAAGTTAAATAAATTACATTTTTTAAATCAATTTAGGTACAGGTATTCCACAAAACTTAAGGGTATCTAAAATTTATTAAAAGTTAGAAATACCTTCATTGTATAAGAATAAAGCTCTTCTTCCTTTCTTTTATTTTCTGTCTTAGTTTTTAAAACTTCGCATTGATTAAAAAAGCACACTTCTCCAATATATTGTGTACAAGAGGAGAGGGAAAAAGCCTCATAAAAAAAGAAATAACTTAATATCTCTTTTGATCATTTAACTTTACTCAATTAACTTTACTCAATGTTTTGTTTTGGTCTTTTAATTAAAAAATGTTATACAGTGGTCCATTAACTAACATTTCGTTCCATATTTTGCTCATTTCTGTTAGTTTTTTAATGAAAAAACGTTAAAAACAATTTTGCTGGACAATTTAAAGCTGATTTGGAATTTTTTATTTAATAATTATAATTTTATTTATTAATATTATAATAATTTTATTTTTAAAAAAATTTAAAGTCAGAACTCAAATTGTCACCATCCCACACTTCAAACTTTAACCCTTTCTCAAAATCTCATTTTCTAAGTCATGTCAATTTATTTTCCTCCTTTTTCACTACCACCGTCAAAATCAGAATGCAAACCCACAAGACCAATTCTTTTTCTTATTTCAATTTGAACAAGTCTCGTTGTGAGGTTCTTTGTTCCAAAACCAGTTGAATTACTGCTCAAGTATGACAGTTGCTTTCAATTTTTCTTACAACCATAATTGGACTTGTTTTAAAGTGATTTGGTTGATTGTGATATCTTGTCCTTTAATTTCAGGATCTTTACTTCCAATCATTTTCACAGATCCAAATAGAGCACAACAAAACAAAAGTTAAGGTTTATGTTTCTTTGTAGATTTGGTGTTCTTTCGTTCGTTACTGATGAATGTTTTAACAAGTGTTTTGGTTTTTTCAAGAAAATTTTAGCAAAGAAATTAAGTGCACGGAGAATCAGATTTTGATCCGTTTAAACAAAAGTTGCGTTGAAGTTTTTTTTGAATTGAAAAGGTTAAAACTTTATTATGTTGTTTAGTGATATAATAATATGGATTAGCAATTTAGTAATTTTATGTTTATGTTGAAGTTTTTTTTTAAGTTTAATTGTTAGATGGTGTATGATAAAAAAAATTGGGTTTGTTTTAAAATTTTCTAAGTTTTGATATGAATGGGTTGAAGGTGAGGATAAAGATAAAGAAAGAGAAGATGGAAGGAGATGAAAAATTGTCTATCTGGCATGTTAATTCAGCCCTAATTAACATTTTTTCATCAAAACTAACGGAAGAGATAAAATAGTTTAACGGAAGAGAAGTTAAAATACTATTAGGTAACGTTTTTTAGTTAGGGGACCAAAGCGAAACTTTGCTTAAATTTAAGGTACCTAGGGACTAATTATGCCAAATGAAATTGATTTATACGCATCGTTATTTTTAAACACTGTTTTTAATGATACTCGTTTGATTTGGTTTTGTTAAATTTTAAAAATCACAAAATTTGTTTAGTAGTCTAGTTTTACAAAATTATTTTAAAAAACTAAAATAGATTTTGGAAATTTTTTATCTTAATTTTTAGTTTTGAAAGTTAGGAAGGAAAAAAAAGAAAAAATACTACAACTTTCATCAAAAGCCAATTTTATAATATTATTCAATTTTAAAATGATTTTTAAAAGTTAGATTACTAAATATATATTCTTTTATTTTTATCCTTCAATTTGTTTTTAAAAACTTATTTATAAAATAATTTTTAAAAATTAAAAACTAAAACTCATTCAAACGAAATAGAAAAATAATTTTCAAGTGAACTCAACATCTTTAATATGTAAAATGTTGGTGGGTACTTTGTTTTAATATAAAATATTATACTTTATAATTTTTGTTTAAGTAAATTTTTTAAAATAATATCATGCTTAGTCGGGATGATAATTTAACTCATTCTCAATGACCTATAAAATCATCTATATAGATAGAATAAAAATATGCAAAAATAGATACCGGTATGAGCACAAGTAATTAATCATAGAATTGATACTCATCATGTGTCATACCTGCATTATATATATATATATATATATATATATATATATATATATATATATATATATATATATATATATATATATATATATATATATATATATATATATATATATATATATATATATATTTATATATATATATATATATATATTTATATTATTATATAAAAAGTATGTTTATCAATTTTAAAAAGTACACAAATGTTAAATTATTATGCATTTAATATAAATTTTTTTCATATTTTTAAAAACTTAAAATAATATAATATTTTATAATTAATATATTTATTTTCAATATGAATGGAGGTAATGAGTACGAATATGGATACTTACATATCAATAGAACACGGGTACACGTACTAACTTTAGAGCTCAAGCAGGTATGAGTTTGCGTACGAGTATTTTTTTTTAAATCGTGGGATGAGAACTGTAGTACCTTGTCCAAAATTTTTCCATTATCATTCCTAGTACTTAGAGTTATCTTTTGTTTTAAAATTTTAAAAAACTAAAATGAGTTTTAGATATAATATAAAAATAAATATTCATCATAAATATATTTTAATTAATTGTTTGTATCATTAAATTTTCAAAATAATTAAAATATTATAAATATATAATATCTTTAGTTTATATGAACTTGAATAATAGTCAATAAAAATAGAGGTTGTCGACAAACACTCGTCTATTGAAGTAATGATCGATAATGGTCAGAGTGGTGTTCTTCAGTGGCCAAAGTAGTATTCATGGTGATCGATGGTGTTCAGAGTGATAGTTTATAGTGGACAGGGTGAGGATTATAGTCGTAGTGTAGTTATAGACAGATTGGTGGTTAGATTGATGATCAAATGTGTACGAAGTGGTCAGCACGATGATGAGCATAATGGTGATATGTGGTGGTCGCATGGTTAGAGTGATGATTAGATTGGAGATCTTAGGTGGATAAAATATTGATCATGTGTGATTGTAGTGATGACTAGCGGTGGTTGAAATGATGATTAATGGTTGTTGCAGTGGTGATGTGATAGGTGCTGGTTAGAATGGGGTTGGTGTTGGTTGGAAGAGTGATATATGGTGGTGATAATGGTGATGTCTACAACCATTAATGGTGGTGATAAAGGTGGTGAGAATGGGGTTGGTGTCTACAACCATTAATGGTGATGTCTTATCTTTAAAACAAACAATAATTATTAAATAACAAAAATTGATTTAAAGTTTTAGTGAAAATTTATTTTAAAATCAAGTAAAAATTAACTCAACTATATTTTAATTGAACAAATTTTGATATTAAAATTAAATATCAAAATTAAAAAAAAAATCATAACCATCTAATTAACCTTAAATTTAATATCATGTAGTCAATTGATCGTACATATATTTTGTGGCTTCCCTCAACACTCGATGGAGGATTATCATGTCAGAGCATGAAGTATATATTTTCCTTTCTCCTTCTTTGTCTTAATTTATTTTCCTTGAAACTCGGTATACTTTAAATAATCTCTCATCTTCCTTCTTATGAGTGTGTTTTGGGCCAATCAAAGACTCATAAAGGTCGGCTCAAATCCAAAGGCCTAACCCAAATTACCCTCGTGGGAGGGTGGCGAATATATGTAGTCTCATCAGAAGGCTCCATATCTTATACGAGTTATTGGTCCATCAAACACTGGTAGATCTGATCAGATGGTCTCTTACAACCAACACTACATAGGGCGTGAACGATTTTAATCACTCACCATATATAAACTTGTCACGCTTCATAACAAATATGCATTCATTCTCACTCTTGCAAGTTACATTTCTCTAACCTCGGTAATTTGAGTGTTGGAGTGATAACCTTACATGTATGCTGCAACATACCAAACGCCCAGACTAATGCACACGAGAAACTTCTTTCTACCATATCACTGATCTCTCATTTTGCAACGGAACATTGACACTATTTGTTGGAAACAATTTTTGATGCTCACAAACTTCCACCTCAAAATTGTCAAATTCTATTCTGGCGAAGATCCCGTTCATTGATGATGAAAACATATGATCTCTTCTATCGAGCTTATCGAGATTGAGTTCATGTCTAGAGAAATTGGTAAAGTAATGGGTAAGGGTCATCCTTGTCAGGTTATATACTTACCCGTGTATCATCTAGGTAGTCGGTTTTGTAGCTACCAATTCAAAGACAATCAATTGAGTTACTTTTGTAGACCTTTCCATTAATAGTTTAACATTGCTTGTCATATTTACTAGTAAATGGTCTTATTTTGGTGGTCTCATTCATGATTATGGTCTAATCCAACAACTAATTTTCCCAATTTAGGTTTTTAATCTTCACATTAGTGAGATGGTTATCCAGATTCCCATTCCTGGACCACCGAGGAATATTAAAACCCAATTTCTCTCTAGATATTTTTGGATTCGTTGAATATCTTGACATAGGGTTGGTTCACAATAGCGAGGTTTAACTCATATATTGGGTTTAGAAATTGTAGCTTGTCATGCTTGACTCATTCCTTAGATAT